CTCAGAAAAGAATGCAAACTGGTACAAGGTAAGTGTTTAGGCAATAATCACGGTCAGAATTTGAATTCAGGGCTGGAGTTCATATCCACACCTACTGTACACCCTAATCTAGAGTCCACACCTATAAAGCCCGGTGAATTGGGTAGGATCTGACCTGCAAATATGGGAATGATCCAGAGGACACCCCCACAACGTCAAATCCCTGTGCAAATGAGACCGACCTCGAAGCACGTTGTTAGAACTGGTGGATGCAAGCCAAAGACGCCCCAGAAGCAGTTCAGGGACAAAGGGAGGGGCCAGGATATTCTCAGCATCGCTCTTCCCCTAGGTATCTGAGATAGGGCGGACCCAGGAGCTCAAGGCGGTGGTAAGGGAGGGAAGGAGGAAGAGCAGTTGAGGGGAAGGGCGACACAGAGACCCGAGGACTTTTTGGCTGATTGGATGGTGTGGGCCATGTGACCCTGCTTAGAGCATTTCTGATTGGTTATTTGACCTCTTCTAGGGTTAAAGACCTAGGAACAAAATTAAAAGCTTCCCGGGTTGACTGGGGCACCTTGGCACTTGATTGATCGCCCATCTCCCGCTCCAGGAAGACCCCAAAATCGAGTGCAGGGAGTGGGGTGGAGAACCAAGAGTCTCAGACCCAATTTATATTTGTCTCTCTTCCATTTGTAGATTTGTCCTACAAAACGTTAAAAAAAAAAAGGAAGAAGAAGAAAAACTGGTCCACACAAATTATTTGTGAGGAAGGATGATCTATTATCATTGGGGTAGGAAGAAGGGGTGATATTTATTTATTTTTTTTAAGGGGTGATATTTAAAGGGAACTTTTGAGCCTGAGAAATAGAATAGGAGATGAGGAAGTCCTAGAACCCCTAAGAGACACACGCCCGGCTCCCCCAGAGGAAGGGGCTGGGGCTGAGATTTGGCCAAGAGGCCAGGAAGGCCGCCTTTGCCTGGGTGTGGGGCGCCGGCTGGGAAGTCCTTGAAGACCAGTACACTCGCTCCCTGAAGCCCTGGGGAGGCTGGGGGGCGGGGAGGAAAACCCCCTCTAACCCCCCTCCCCAGGCTTGAATGCAAACCCCTCCCGCACAGACGGGTGGGGAGCTCGGAGTGAGGGCGAGAGAGCAGAACCTGCGAGGTCACTTTTTGACTGGGCTACTGGGGAGATCGTCTGGGATCCTCCCGCTTCCCAGGGACATAAAGGTGTGGAGGGGACCCCGGAGGCCCAGAGCGCCGGCCTCGGGAGTCCTCACGCAGGGGTGCAGAGCTGGGGAAGGCCGCCGCTCTGCCAGTCCTGGGTCCCGGCTCCCCTTCCCCTCCCCAGTCAGCCTGGGCTCCCCGCCTCTTCCTCGGTGCCTGGGGGCGCGGCACTGTGTCCTCTCCCTCCCAGTCCAGTCCCCGTCGTCCCCCAGACTCCCTCTGGGAGGTGCAGGCCAGCTCCCAGCCCTGCCCCCGCTGTCCACCCCCTTCCCCGGGCCTGGAGCGGGTCCCCACCGGCATCCCTCCCACGGGGTCCCCCAGGTCCCCCAGGTCAGCCCTTCAGGGAGCCGGGTTTCTACTGTGGCGCTGTCCCAGCGCAGCTCCGGGTGACCGTGGGGAGGGGTAGGCACTGGCAGGCGTGGAGGACACGTGCCTCCGGCTCCCGACGCCTCCACCGCTTCTTCCCAGAAACCTTTAGGGAAGCCCAGCTGGGGCGGCCGCAGAACCCGGCGCCCAGACGGGCCCCACAGGCCCCTCTCTCCCCAGGGCTGGGGGCTAGCCTGGCCTGCCTCCACTCTCCCACCGTTTACACTACTCACCTCGGGGATGGCTAGGCCTCCCGGGCCTACTTTTATCTCAGGCAAGGGCTAGGCAAAGACCCTAGCAAAGACCCAACAACTAGGGGGAGGTGGCTTGAAAGCACACTGGCCCCCGGGCCGACTCTGACCCCAGACTACAGATGCTGGGACAGATGCCCCTCCCCGCCCCCCGCCAGGCCTGCTGGGGAGGAAAGGGGAACCGCTTGGAGACTCTCTGGGCTCCGCCAGCCACCTTTAAGAGGCTTCTGCCGTCGCAGGTCGCAGCCTGTGGGCTCAGAAGTCCCAAAGCCTGCCTTCCTGGCCTCCCTCTCCAGCTGCCTCACCTGCCTGGACGCTGAGCCGCTGGCCCAAGGGCTGACCCGGGCCCTCCAGCCCAGGGAGGGCCCCAGACGCACTTTGCGCGTGCGCCCAGAGTTTACACGCTCCTGCAGACACCAACACCCAGGTGTCTGCCGCAGTCTTTCTTCCCAACTGAGGAGGGAGAGGGGGCCCGGGAGACCTGGCCAAGCTCTAAAGGACCCAGGCCTCTCCCCACCGCAGTTGCCTTGCAGCTGGAGGGAATAAAGGGCAGGGAGGGGAGGGCCGGCCACAGGAGACAGCTCCGGGCCGACCTCCCAGCGGCTCCTACTCCTCTCCCACCCTAGCCTGGGAATGCCGGGGCGGCCTCCTTCCCCTCCCCTTAATGAGTGGGAACTGCCTTCTATCACGGGGAGGGGGGATTAGGTAAACGGGAGAAAGGGTCAGAGAGAGAGAAAATTAACTTACAGCGTTCGCCTGGGATTCATTTGCGAAGATGTAACCTCTCACCATCATCCCCAGCGCCGTAATCCCCTCTAACTGCCGGGCCCTCTGTCCTAGCATTAAACCTCACCAGCAGCTGCGTGGCTGGACAGTTAAGATTATATATGATGTAAATATATTGTGGGTTTGTCAGCTCTCCCTACACCATAAAACTTGGTTTAATGACATCACGTGGTCCCCCAAGAGCCACTCACGGGCTTGCCTTCGGGCCATTCACATAAATAACCTCCAAAAGTTTCAAACTCCTAAATTCACATAGAAGCCCTGCGTGTTTCTCTAATGCTCAGTTACACTAAAAAGCCCTTGTGCTGCTCCTTGCCCCACCCCCAGACCCCCCTTGCAGGGTGGGGAGGGGGGAGAGGGTGGATCCTTATTTATTTATTTACTTACTTATTTCCATAAGGACCTGTCGCCTTCGAGGTCGTGTTGATATTTTTTCCTCCTATTTTTTTCCTCCTCTCTCCTCTAATTGCTCAGAGTGGGTCGTGTCCCCCTCTTCCCACTCCCCCGGGAAGGTAAGTCACGCTTCTTCCCCTTTTTTTTTTCTGGCTGCCAGAGGGGGTGGGCTTCAGGGCAAAGTGGGGAGGCAGGCTCCCTGGTCTCTGCTGGGGACCCAGAAGCCCCTCCACTAACTTTCCCAGAGCAATGCCAAATCCTGGCGCTTGGGGATTGTTCCAGGAGGCTGGCTGGTGGGAGATCCACCCCAGGCTTCGAAGCAGAAGCCTCCGCGCAGGGAGCAAGCCAGGGTCTGGGCCGCACCTAGTCCCCACGTAGGGGAGGGTGTCCGAGGCCTCTGGCTGGGCGGTGGCAGCTGACGCTGCAGCAGAGCCTGGGGCCTGGGGCAGGCCTGCAGGCTGACAGGAGGGGCGGGGGCAGGCTGGCGTGGCGGCGTCCGCCCAAGTCTGGCCAACTTGAGTCAACCGTCCAGCTCCTCAGGGACAGAGGCCTTAGCGCCGCAGGAAGGAGGCCTTCAGTGCGCGGCGGGCCGCTGGGCCCGCGACGGCTCCGGCTCCGGCTCCGAGCAACCTTGCCCGGCCCCGGCAAAGCCCCGTGCGTCCCCTGGGGAGGAAGCTGGGGCCTCGGCAGCCAGGGATGCTGGAGCGGGGATGGCGGGCGCCGCGGCCTCTTTCTTAGTTAACTGTTACCCACTGGAGACGCCAGTGCTTCTCCACGCTTCACCGCTCGCCCAATAGTTTTGCTCAGCATGGAGAAAAAATTAAAATAACTCCCTGAAGAAAATTACACATTTTATTTGCGGGAGAGCGAGAGCGAGGGATTGAGAGGGGAGCCGGGTCGGTGCTAGGCCGGCGGACTGCTGAGTGCCAGTCGGGCACAGACCCCGCAGGCGCCCCAACCTGGCCTGAGTGCCGTGCGGGGGAAGGGTGTCGCGATGGGCACAGATCAATAAACATTTGTTGAGACCTCCTACGTGCGAGGCACGGGGTGAGGAAAGACTCTCGGGTTTTGAAAAAATGACAGATGGATAGCCTAGGCGGTGGGATGCAGAGAAGTCAGTCCTTATAATAAATCCTAGGAGCATCAGCATTAATAATCATAAATATTCCCCTTGCCCCTCCCCAGAGTCTCTCTGCTCCCTCTCCCTCTTGGCTTCAAGAGCAGCCTCCTAGCCCAGCTCCTGAACCGCACCCTCCCCCAGTGTGGGGGGCCTAGGCTTGGCTCCAGGAAATCACCCCGTCGTGGGAGGCGGGAGAGGAAATGCAGTAAAGTTTTATGGACCCTTCCCACATTTGTTTCTCCTATAAAGTACTTCCTCCCCCATCCCATCCCAGGAGCCTGGAGCAGAGCAGAGCGTGGGCCTCAGCCAGCCTCGGCACCACCTGAATTATCTGCCTCCCCCCCCTTCCCTTTAGCCCACCCTCCCCCTCCACACAAAATCCCAGAGAGTGAGACAAATGATGGCAAACAGACAGGACTCAGGCACCAGTCTATGCAGCTCCTTGCCCAGCTAATTGTCCTGCCTAGCCTTAGGCCCTAGAAGTGAGGGGAACAGTCTGAACGTTTCTTGCCAGGCAGGTACACTGTGGGTTGCCCTCCTTCCTCCCATCTCCCCCAGTATCATAAAAGGCAGAGACACACCTTCCCCAGCTCCCCAGACCCCTTCACCAAGCAGCACCAACTCTTTCTGGGACCAAATGGCAGCCCTCCCTCTATGTCCAGCAAGGTCCCTCAAAGACCACCTAGCCCTGGGAGAGATCTTCAGAGGCCCAGAAGGGCCCGAGTCTGAGGACCAAGGAGCCCCCAGTCCCTGCAGATTAGCCCTGGCGTGCAATGGGGCTGGTGCCAGTCTAGAGGCCTCAGATCCACCCAGCCAAGGTGGGAATGGGGCGCAGAGGCCTGAAAGCCCCGGAGAGCCACAGCAGGGAAGAGCCAGTCCACACAAGCTAGATGCCCCCCACACCAGCCCCCCCCCCCCTGCAAAGGCCATTCTGGGAACCAGGGATCTGGAAAGGAGGTCAAATTCACCTCCCTGCCCTCAATCCCTCTAGAAGTTCCTAAAAATTCTTTTTTTTTTTTACAAAGAGGCCGAGAGGCTGTGTCCCATAGCCCATTTAGACGCTTTTACCCAATACATGCCCCCAACAGAGAGGACCGCTGCGTCTTTGGTCCTGTTCTCTCTTTGTCTTTATTTGATATGACAAAATATAGTTTCAGGAAAGACCTGGAGTCAATAAATAGTTGGACGACAGCGATGGGGCAGGAGGGCACAGAGTCGTGGCAGGGACTAGTGGGCAGCCAGGAGCCTCTGGGACTGCTTGCTGGGGTCCAGTGGCAGGGAACCCCCAGAGCTGAGCTAGCTGGTGAGCTGAGGCGGGGGGGCCTGAGAGGGCATGCAGAGGGCGCAGGCTGGAGACGTTACGGGGCTGAGGGGTGGCTGAGAAGGTTTGGAGAGCCTAGGGCAACCGGGGGGCCCTAGGCGGGCCTTCAGTCATCTCCCCCCTTTCATATGCAAATCATTTAAAGACCGAACGTGGAGTTTAGTCGCTACACCGCAGCACCCCGAGTCCGAGTCCGGCGCCGACTCGGCCAAGCACAACCACTCTCGCCGGCCTAAGCCGGGAACAAAGGGCAGGGGAGGCCGAGGGGTCGGGCCACGGGGCCTGGGGCGCCCGGGGCCCCCCTTCACGCGGCCGGGCGGCGCCGGGGGGAAGCCGGAGAGGCCGCCCGGCCCTGGGCCTTCGCGGCAGCCCCGGCACCGCAGGCCTGCGGAGCTCGCCCTGAGCCCGGGCCGGGCCGCCAGGACCCAGGGAGCCCGGGCCGCCCCGCCGGGCCCTGGGCTGGGCGAGGGGCGAGGGTGCGGGAGCCGGGGGAAGCGCTTTTGTCTGCGAGGCCGAGCCGGTGCCCAGCCGCCCGGCCGTGCCCCAGACACAGACAGAGGAAACCCGAGGAGGAAAGGCGCGGGGAGGAAAGCGGGCTCGGGGCGCAGTGTGCGGCCCCCCCGCCTCTAGAGAGCCTCTTTGCTTTTCATTTTGGAATCTTTCTTCCACTTCATCCTGCGGTTCTGGAACCAGATCTTGATCTGTCTCTCGTTGAGACACAAGTTGTTGGCGATCTCGATGCGCCTGCGGCGAGTGAGGTAGCGGTTAAAGTGGAATTCTTTTTCCAGTTCCAGAGTCTGGTAGCGCGTGTAACTGGTTCGGGACCGCTTGCCGTCCGTCTCTGGAATAGAAACCCCCCAAGCCAGGGAGGGGTGAATAGGGAGCAGCCCCCCAGCGGCCCGGCCCGGCCCGGCCCAGGCCCCCACCCCGGCCGCAGGGAGCCCGGAGCCGCCGGCACAGGCCCCGCGGGCCGCAGGCGGGCCCGGCCCGGGGCAGCCGGCGCGGCCGGCCCGGCCCGCCCGGGAGAGGCGCCTCGGGCCCGGCAGGAACTTTGCACCGCAGCCTTCACTCTGCAGCCGTAGGGGCTGAGGGCTGGGGGGAGAGGGAGACCCGGGCTCGGACCGAACAATAAGCACCCTCGAGACCGAGCTCCGGGGACCCCCCTCCCGCCCCTCCCGAGTCGCTGGAAGCCTCCGGAGCGGCCCAGGCCGGGCGCGGCTGCACGGGGGAGGGAGGGAGGGAGCCTCGGGGGGGATCCCCGCTCTGCAGCCCCGCGCTCCTCACCCTTCAGATCCCTCTATTTTTTTAACTCCCTCCCTCTCCCCCAAAAATTGAATATTGCCTTTTATACACGTTTTGTTCCTATGATCCAATTATGTCGTCGTAAATTTGGGCGCACACAGCCTCTAAGCCTTTTAGTGGACAGTTTTACGAGCCATTGATGCCTGGATCGTAAAATTTATGGCCGCGGGTTTTTTTTTCTTTATTTGCCCCGCATGGCCTATAAAACCCAGGCGGACCCGAGCGCGCAAAATGAAGTCCTAAAGTTTACCGTGGCTCATGTGCAGTTTGGTCATCCACGGGTAAATCTGTGGCGGGGCCGGTGGCTGGCTCCGGGCGGCGGGCTGCCCTGTCTGCGCCTGCTCCTCTTTGATCTCCCCAGCGCTCCTAGCTCGCTCCTCCGGCGCTGGGCGAGCCGCCTTCTGACTGTACATCCCGGGGTTCAGAGGAGCCGCTTCGTCTCTGCCCAGAGCGTGTCCCGGAGCGGCCGCGGCGCTGCAGGCGGGGCGGTCGGGGTGAGCCCGGGGGCTGGCTGCCATGTCTACCCCGTGGAGAGAGTTGGAAGGCGCAGGCGGTGGGAAAGTGATGCTTAAGTCCAATCCACCGTAGCAGTACCTGGATGCCTGCACCTCTGCGGCCGATCCATAGTTGCCACAAGTTTGCATGTTATAGGCAGGGATATTGGGGCTCTGCTTATAGAATGAATTGGCTACGTAGGAGCTCATGGCGGGGAGGGCCCAAAAAAAAATTTCTGCACCCTTTTTGATTAAGGGTGATTTGTGACTCTTTGAAGTTGAGGGGTTTTTTGTTCTCCAAAGTGCACAATTTATAGGTGGAGATATCTCTTTCTTTATCCTATGCGCTCTTCCCAAATAAGGGAGCCTTAAATAGAGTCACGTGACTCGAGCGGCCACTCATAAATTTGGCTTGATGACCTCCGGGAGGTTAGTGATGGAAGCCGGCGAAACGCATCTTGATATGTTGGCAAAGCCCAACCAAGGGGGGAGAGGGAGTGAGAGAGAAAGAGAGAGAGGGAGAGAGAGGGAGAGAAGGGGGAGGGAAAAAAATGGTTCTTGGAATTGGGGGGTAGCCGGGACAACGAGCCCACAGCGACACCCGGTGCCGACTTGGGAGGATTGCAGCCTGGCTTGTGTGCCCGCCTCCAGACCGAGGGATTTTCTACCCTGCAGAGAAGGCTGGTTGCTGCTGCTGCTGCTGCTGCTGCTGCAACAAACCCTTGAAATGGCCTTTTAAATCGTCCTTGATTTTAAGGAAAGATGAGGTCTTGCTTAGGGTGCAAGCACTAGCGGATAGCCCTGTCCTCCCCACACCCAGAGTCTTTCGATCTTCAAGGATGGCTGAGGAAAAGGAGATTTTAGGGGTGTGTGTGTGTGTGTGTGTCTGTTGGGGGGGAGCGTGCCCAGGTTGGAGATCCCACGGGATTTATCCCAGGTTCTCCCAACCAAGGGTGGAGGTCCCCTCTCCTTGGAGGCCCCAAGGCCCTGCTACTGCTGAGGAGGTGACTGTCAGCGTGGGGAAGGGAACCCAGTCCCTGGGGAGGTGGACAAGATGACAAGATGCCTGCCAGGGGAGGGGGGTCCTGAGTGAGCAGAACTGGATAGGGGGGGAGGGTCAGGAAGCTGAGAGTGCTGGGAAGTCTGGGATGAGCCTGGAGGTGAGGATGTGTAGGGGGAGCTGAGTAGACCTCAGCATCCTGGGACCCCAGAGTGGCACCTAGTGAGAGAGAAAGAGTGTGTGTGTGTGTGTGTGTGTGTGTGTGTGTGTGTGTAGCATCAGACACAATGGGCTTGGAGGACTGCTCTGCATCCCTGTGTGTGACCCTCATGTGGTACCTATGCCACATATTTGGGATAGAAAATAGATGTTCGTTGAGGGCATGCAGAAGCAAGCCCGAAGCCTCCACGGATATCATATGAGCAGGGCAGAGGCAGAGGCCTGTTTTGTGCCCTTTTTGGAAAAGGCCTCTGGAACAGGTTTTCAGGGACCCAGATACAGAAGGTCCACAGGAGAGCAATTTCCGAGCTATCTGAAGGCGTGGGAAGGACCTGGCTGGGGCGGGGGTGGGGGGGGGGTGCAGGAGGTGGGCAGGGCCGCCGCCTGGGCCACCTTGGCAGCCCGAGGCCAGGGGCTCCGCAGCAGCCTCCCGCCCCCGTCCCGACCCCCTCCCCTAGCCCCACGTCTCAGTCCTTCCCGCCTGCCTCGCCCCAGGAAGTCCCCGCCCCTGCCCGGAGAAGCCCCCTCCTGCCCCCCCCCGCCGGCGGAGGCGCTGGAGGGGGCGCTGGCGGGGATCTGGAAGGTCTGGAAAACTCTGGCGGATTGTTTCCCTGCGGGAGAGCCCGTCCCAGCTCCCCCAGGCCCACTCGGGTTGCTCCGGCTGGGCCGAAGGAGACCAGGCCCGAGCTGGGCGAGGGTCGGGGTCCGGCTGCGCCCCCGCCGCGGGGCCGGGGAGGCTGGGGAGGCGGAGGAGCGAGGGGCCCGACCCGGGCCGGGCCCTGGGAAGGACGGATTTTGTCCCAGGCCTGCCAGGCGCCCCAGCGCAGGCTCAGTTTCCAGGCTTTCTCTCCCGAGATGTCCCCGCGTCGCTCGGGCTGCGCCGGAGGGCTCGGAGCCGCGCTCCTCCCGGGCCTCGGCTCCCGCCGCCTCCGCCACGGCTCGCAACAGTCGGCCTGGCGCGGGCCGGGGGCTGCTCGCCAAGGGGCGCGGCCCGAGCGGGCTTCCCTCCTGGCCCTGGGGGCGCGGGGCTCACCCGCCCAGGACCCCAGGCCACCCCGGGCAGGAAGGAAGGCCTGTGCCGGGCTGCAGACCCAGGCGAGCAGCCCAGGCCTCCCCCACCCCCAGCGAGATCCTTTGCGGCCTTTTTTGCGGGGTGAGTGCGCTGCTCCGCCGGGAAGCCCCCCAGCGCGTCCCCGAGCCCGGGGAGGCCCGGCCTGCGCCCCTGCGCCCCTGCGCCCCTGCGCCCTGCAGGCCTGCGCCCCCGCCGCCTCCCGGGAGAGGCGAGCGCAGGGGGCCGGGGGCTTGCAGGCGGCGGCGGACACGGAGCCTGCTCCAACTTTCGCCCCGGGCCGGCGCACGAGCGAATTAACAGAAATCCCCGATATCCACTTTTAAAAATAATATCAGTTTTATTAAATATTCGAGAACGGATCCAGAGGTCGGATTTATACAGGAGGGTAACACGAGGGGATTTTTTTTTTTGAATTTATTTCTTTTTTCTCCTACCGGCTAAACAAACGTCATTCACTTTTTTTTCCCTCCCTTTTTGTGATTTTTCCCTCTTTTTTTTTGTTTTGTTTTTTGTTTTGTTTTGTTTTGTTTTCCCCCCTTTAGGATGGGCTTGGAACACGGAACGGTGCTAAACATAAATATAAATACAGAGACCACAAATACAGCTAAAAATATTCACACAGAAACGGTCACAGTTTGTAATATGCCATAATGACCCCCCCAGGATTCTTTAAATACAATTTGCCTGGGCCGGGCACTTGCTGGGGCAGAGGGGCCGGGCAGGGGCTGCGGGGAGGCCCTGGGGGTTGCTGCGGGGCCACGACGCGCCCTCCTTGGGCCTCCCGGCCTCGCGGCTGCCAGGCCAGGCCCTGAGGCCCGGGAGCGGAGGCCTTGGCCGGGGAGCTGCTCTCCGCGCAGGGGCGGGGGTGGGGGCGCCGAGGGGGTGGGGGGCCGAGTCCTCGTTTGGAGGGCCATCTGTGGAGCGTGAAGCGAGGTTCAGGGACGAGCCCCCAAGGCCTGGGCGGGGGGGAAGGGGCCTGCAGACGAGCCGAGAACGAGCTAGCGAGGGAGCGAGGAGGAGGAGGAGGAGGAGGAGGAGGAGGAGGAGGCGCGTGGTCAAAGAGTTTGTGCGGTGAGGGAGGGGGTCCAGAGTTGACTTTCAGGTCCATATCTGGGTCCCTAATTTTGTGTTAGGGACCCCAAACACATCAGTTGTGCCAGTGATAAATACAGAGTGTGTGATTAGCAGGGAATTGGAGGGGGGGTTGCAGGGGAGCAGGAGGGAGAGGGGGGCGGCGGGGACAGTCCTGGTCACTCCTTCTGCTTCTCCTCTTCTGTCTCTTCCCGCTTTTCCTCTTTTCCGCCCAGGCTGTCGGCCGCGGCCCCTCCGCCGCCCCCCGAGAGCGTGGACGTGAGGTTGGACTCCTTTTTCCACTTCATCCGCCGGTTCTGGAACCAGATTTTGATCTGGCGCTCGGTGAGGCAGAGCGCGTTGGCGATCTCGATGCGCCGGCGCCGCGTTAGGTAGCGGTTGAAGTGGAACTCCTTCTCCAGCTCCAGGGTCTGGTACCGCGAGTAGATCTGGCGGCCGCGCCTCCGGTCCGCTCCGTAGCCGACCCCTAGAGATCCGGGCACAGAACACACTGAGAACCGTCAGCAAGGCGTCCTCCGTGGGCGGCCGAGCCTGGCAAGGTCCTGACCCGCCCGGCGTGGCCAGCGGCTCCCGGGCCCCGGGCTCCAGCCTTCTCCCTCTTGCCCTGCCCCACCCCCACCGGGGGCACAGCCGGGGTCCCAACTCCATCCAGTCCCCCCTACGCTGGTGGGTGAGTGTCCCAAAGAAAGGGGAGGCGGGGAGGGGGGAGGGGGGGCAAGAGCCAGGCAGAAAGCTGGAAGTCTGAAAACTGGGTTTGGAAAAACCCCCAACAGTGGGGAATGAGGGCCCCATTGCTCAACAACTGGGCGCCCCCACCTCCCCCAGCGCCCCAGCTCCCTGCAAACTTCTCCCCACTTGTCTGCGCCTCAGCCTGACTTGGGGGGGCTCCCCCACCCCGCCCCCGCCCCTGGCCCCCTGCCCCGTCCCTGCCCCCTCGGCCTGCCTGGGAGCCCTCCAATCCGCCAGGGCCCGAGGGGGCCAGGCCCCTGCGAGCGAGCGAGAGAGCGAGCGAGCAGCGAGCCAGCGAGCGGGAGGCGAGCAGAGGGGCAGAAGAGGGGGCCCTGTCTCGGCGTCGGCGAGGAGACGAGCGTGATTGTTTTTATGGGGCCATAAAAAACTCTCTCCGCCCGTTCTTCTAGGGAAGCCGGTCATAAAGCCAGTTCAGTTTATTTAATTTATATCTCGGAGCTGTAAAACTCACCACTGTGCGAATTCATTCGCTGCATCCAGGGGTAAATCTGGATACTGGCTTTCTGGTCCTGGGGCGCAGTCCTGCCCTGCTCAGAACTAAAATCCTGAGCCATTGAGGTCTGTGTGTTATGTCCTAAGGTGTTTTGTCTGCAGTTTGAGAGCATGTCTTTCTCCTGGTAAAAGGAATTAGATCCATAGTCATACGGCCCCCGGCTGGAACTGAACACGACATTCTCCTGTGGCGAATAAAAGGGAGTCGAGTAGATCCGGTTCTGGGCAACGGCTGCTCCATAGGTCGAGAAATGCCTCACTGGATCATAGGCGGTGGAATTGAGGGCGACGTTGGGGAGGACGTCCTGGCCCCCGGCGAGGTGGCAGGATAAGGAAGGGTTAGTGAAGTAGGAATTCATCCCTTTGCCTTTACCTGGTCGGGCTATGATTTCTTTAATATTTATTTCTGTCTCCAGTTTGTACTCGGAACTAGATGGTTATAGGGACGGCTCCAATCCAGGACAGACAAAATGACAAAGTCAGCTGACCCCCTTCCAGCCAATCGCAAGCCAGATGTCAAGAAGGGGGAAAAAAATCGCTTCTGCTTCTGTTGATTCCCTAGTTGAGACTAAGTGTGTGCTTTGAAAGTAAGACTTGGATTTCTTTTTAAAAAACATATATGTGAGGGAACTGATCTGGAGGTGAAGGACGGTACGCAGGCATCAGCAGGGCCTTGGGGCCCGAGGAAGAAGAGCTGCACTGCTGGGAAATCTCTCAGTCCCAGCTAACTTTGCTGTGCTGTGGCCAGAGCCAGGTCTGGAGAAATCCCTCTATTTCCAATCTGACTTCATCTTTTCTATCTCCCCCACCCCTTCTAAAATCATGTCCTGATTTCTCCATGGGAAGAGCCCCTTCCCAGCTCAGGGGAAATCCCCAGAAATCCTACAGGAAATCCTAGCTTGACCCTCCATGGAGTGAGTTCTCATCACTAGACCAGTATTCCCCCCCCCCAATAATTTTTTAAAAAATCAAAAGTACACAGAAACTGCACAAAACGTGGTGCTCAGAGGAAGGAGAGCGTGGCTGACAGTCTGAGGTGTCAGGGGGGATGTGGGGAGCAAGCAGGTCTGAGGGGGAAGGATGAGACCTCAGGGTACAGTGGCAGAGCTGAAGGGGGCAGAGGGGCCATGTATTTGCTCCCTCTTCCTCTTAGCCCCCTTCTGCCCCTCAGAACACCCTTTTTGGGGGAAACCCTTGCAGCATTTCTGCCAAAAAGGGAACATGTATAAAAATACAATAGGAAAGGGAGAGAAAGAAGTAAAAGGTGGGAGAGAGAGAGAGAGAGAGAGAGAGAGAGAGAGAAAGGAAGAAAGGAAGGAAGAAGAAAGAACTCTGAGAGTCTTTCTAGACACATCAACTCCTGTTTATGTTGGTGAGAATTTATGATTTGGAGCCAGCGAGGGCTGGTGGGGTGATTCACATAGGATCCAGGCAGACAGGGAAGGCTGGTGGGGCTCTGAAGGGCAGTTAGCGTCCTGCAGGCTCAAGCCCCTGCACAAGGCAGGAGCCCCCAGCCAAGGGAGGCACCCCTGGACCTGAGCCCTGGGGCTGGGGAGAGTCCAGCAAGGGGCTCCTGGGGAGCTCTCGTTCCAGGGCCAGCCTCACCTGGTGCAGCCGGGCCTCCCAGCAGCCCCTACCCCCCATTTTCTCTCCACCTTGGGGCTGAGAAAAAGGAAGAGAAGGGTAGGAAAAGGCAGCTGAGTTCGAGGCTCTGAGGGAGCCGCAGTGGGCGGACTGAAGCAGCGGAAGGTGTGCAGATGGGGTTTTTCTCCTGATTAACCCAAACTTAATTTGATATCGTGACATAGGCTGAGAATGCTCTGAGTTGACAAAGAGGGGGCGGTGGGGCTAGCGACGGGAGCAGGGCAAGCTCATATTTTCTCTTCACCATTTTGGGGGGGGGGGCTGGCTATAACAAGAACCCGGATGTCGCCGGATTTTATGATCTTTTCCTTCTGTGTAACAAAGCGGAGTAATCAATGGGTAGCAATAAAGCCATAAACGGGACTACGCTGGGAAAAAACTCGTTTATTCATCTTCTGTAACGTTAAGGTTTCCCTGGAGTGTCGCTAGGGGGGAAAAATAAAGTTTCGAACCCAAAAGCAGACAGTGTGTAGGAGCTGGTGGAGACAACATGTTAGCTAACACATGAGCCTCGTTAGGGGACTGAAGAGTCTTCCTGCCGGACAATTTGTGTTGGCTTTTAAAAGTGCAGCCCCAATCCTTCAGAAAGGAGGGGAAATTGTTGGTATTTAAGAGGGTGGGGGAAAGACCCTTGTAATTATCAAGGTTCCCCCTCTTTGGACCATACTTTCTTCTGCTCAAGGAGATAAAAGTGAAAGGGTAGAGGAGGGCTCCAAGTTAAGAAAGAAATTTTGAGATGAGTTGTCTCGTTTGGGGGTGACATGGCAGGTACATAAACACAGACACCAGCGTGACTTGCTTTTTGCTCTAGAATCCAGCTGTCTTCGAATTCATGGCATGCCTGGACAGAGGCTTTCAACAGCTGGCTGGGGCTCCAGGCCCCCTGGAGGGCAAGAGGTAGAGCGAGAGAGAACTAGGGGGGAGGGGGGGCGAGACCCAGGGGGCTGAGCTAAGAAACAGGTCGGCGCACCCCTGGACCCTGGACACAAGTAGCCGCTCTGAGTCCCCAGCCTCTTCTCTGCCCCAAGGGTAGCGGAGTAACACGTAGAGCAGGCCGGAAGAGAGAGTAAATTCCCTCCATCCCCCCCCCATTTCAGAGAGATTGCTAGAGGGATAAATCATGTCAGTGATATTTCCTTCAAGATATTAAATTGTTGCAATGTACAACAAATTGAATGATGGAAGATAGGATGTCTTAATGAGGTTTCACTTTCAGTGAGTGTTGATTTTCTATGTATTTTTAAAATCTCTTTCGTGGGGGGTGAGGGAAGGAAGGACCCTGGGAGAAAGAAGGGGCTTCTGGGGAAGCATGTGCTGCAGCTCCCCAGCAAGGATGCCTGGGTTTCCTTGAGCCCCTCCTAAACAGAGTCTGGAGGGGCAAGGGGCCCCCAAAGTTGGGGATAGTCTCCTTTGGGGCCTAAAAGTAGTGGGCGCGGGGGTGGGCGACCTGAGGAGCAGAATGTAAGTCTCAGCCCCGGAAAGTTAAGTGTTTTATTACGTCCCTAAACAGAGGGCAGAGACTGAAAGGTCTCGCCGATTTATAATGAACAGAAACCAGCTGCTGGGGGAAAGAGGCAGAAATGCTGGAAGGGGGAGAGAAGAGGAAGCAGAAATACAAATAAATTCCCCCACTGCTTAAAGATTTTCGGCAAAATTAATTCCCAACGTACTCTTCCCCCATCACCTTCCATCCTGAGAAAAGGAGCCTCCTTCTTTCAGTCTGGTCTTTAATTATGCAGCTGAAATTTGCTGGAAGGATTCGCTCCAAGGGGGGAGAGCAGGTCAGATGAACCCGATCTTCCCTCCATTGGATTATATTTTCCTTTTCTCATTTTATGTTAATTTTATCTTTTTGGCGAAAGAACGGCTGTCTATGGGGGGATAGCTGGGACTTGGGTTTTTCTAAATATATTTATATTTCCCTGTTAAATTTGTCTGAAAACAATTATGGAAACTCATCAGCAGAAGCAAGAACAGATGTTTTATTAAAACTGCAGTTGAGCTCTGTAAATATGCACAAGTTCTGGGAAGGGGGGGACTTGTTCTTTGTTTCTATAAAACAAGCCTAGAGCAATCAGAGAACACCCCCATCAGGCCCGCAGGTCTCCGAGTTGCTCTGCCCCTTGGGCCTCCGGAATCAGGCATTCCGAGAGGGTTTGGCGGCAGAGCAGATTTTCGCTTTCGGAGCTGTAATTAGTGGATTCGAAAACAGAATTCAAAAAACACAGAAGAGGAATAAAGGGGGAAAGTTGCCGCTCGCTGCTCCAGTCCCCCCATCTCCTCAGCCCCAAACACATGCTTCTCATGAGCCCTAATTACAGGAGTGGAACTTGCTGCAGGCGCCACGGGCCTGCTTGGGGGGCAGTCACTGGCCTGGAGTCCCCAAGGCTAAGGGGTGCTTTGGAGGCTGCGCACTCGAAGGTCTCGCAGAATGAGTCAAGCGCTCCTACCCCAGCCTTAACCTGCTCCAGGGCAGGGGCTGGGGGCCTGTGTAGCTCTGAACGGGGGAGCGGGTGGGTGTGCCTGGACTCTGGCTGGGAAGGGGTTCCTGGGCAGGCCTCACCTTGCCTGCCTTTCCTCTCCACCCTGCCCTGGGAAACATAGTACTTTCTTGAGGAAGGGGATCTGCAGCCAGGAGGAGCAGATCTGGAATTTTTGCTGGGGGACAGTCTTTTCCAGAGGTCCTGGCTAGTGGGTGTTTTGCTAGTCTTCTCTCTTTCCCTAGATCCCCCAACTCTGCGCAGATGTCTGTGACTCACCCAGCCTTGCACACAGATACACACACTCCACTCCTGCCTGCCGGCGCCACCAACCACAGCTCGGCGCCTCCGGAGGCTGCTCAAGGACCTGGACACCGGAGCCGCAGGACTCGGCGCTCTCGGCCTGGGCGCTTGGCTGCCTGGAAGCCACGGCAGCCGCCTGACTCACCCCTGCCAATTCTTGATTTTGAGAGCAGGGGAAGGGCGGTTGCCCGACCAGCACCCTTTGCGCCACTGGGCAGGGGCTGAAATCCCTCTTGCAGAGAAAGCCCAGTTTCAATAATTGTTCAGCTCACCTTACAGTCGCACTGTTTGGTTAAGGGTTTGCTGTTCTAGAGCTATTGCTCGGGTGGCCCGACTGGCTTATGAGTAGACACCTTTTTAACTTAAAAAATTAAAAAAATAAATCCTACTCCAAATGCCCAGTGATTTGTGTAGGAGTTCCTTTGATCTCCATAGAATCCGGAGTTAAAGGAGTGCAAGGAGAGTCTCCAAGTCCGCCAGAGAACCTGAATTCGGGGGAACTGGGTCTGCTTGGGGACACCAAAGCATAGCTCACCTCCAGCTTCTCACGGGAAGGGTGGGGGACGCCTCCCCACACACACACTGCATTCCAAAACAGACTGTTTCTCCTGGTCTCAAAGTTCAGGCTTGGAGGCGCTTGCAGAAAGGTGAAATCTGACACATCCAACCCGGAAATGCATCCCATTTGGGGGTGCTGATATTCCGGGGACAAGGCCCAGGCTGGCCAGCTGAATGGAGTTGGGGGTCAGCAGGGAGGGGCGAAGGGGGATGAGGCCAGATGGGGCACATCAGGCGCCTGAGAACTAACTGCCCCAAACACCTCTGAGGCCTGGGCTGGCAAATTCTCTTTTGAGCTAAGAGGCTGCGAGGCTGCCCAAGCTGCTTCTGCTTTATGTGCAATTAAACAGAGAAGGAAGGTACCTGGAGAGGCTCTGCTAACTCACGTCATATTTTCTCTCCTCCTTCTCTCTTTCCAGACTTCCGCCTGACCTTTCTTTACCACCACTCCACTTGGGGCTGCTACCCTCAGCAGACACAGACTCCCACCATGGCAGTTGTTTAGCTTCTCAATTCACTTCACTAACCGGAGCTTGAAAAGTAAAGCAGACCCCAAGCATCTCTGTACCATCCCACTCAGCCCTGAGCGCCTCTGGGCTCCCTTTGGAAGAAGTCTTTTCTGGCTTTGGGGGGCCTGGCCCCCACGCACCCCATCTCTGTCCCAAGGAAGAGAGGGCATGCCAGAGAGCCTTCGGAGGACACGCGGTACCTCATCCCCACTGGGAATGGGGAGGGAACGCAGATGCTGAGTGACATTTCAGGGAGGAGAAGCAAGTGGCCCTGGTTGGCCGAGGAGGAAAAATGAAGAACGAGAATAATATTAAGAATATTTCTGGCCCCCAGAATGGGGCCAAAGGACCCCCAACTTTCTGGCTTTTCTTGAGGCCCTCCGCATAAGCACTGCTTGGACCCACTTTGGAGGTTTATGAGAATTGTAAAATTCAGGAGCACAGCATTTATGACGTCACAGTGAGTTGTCATGAGGAAATTGTAAATGTCATAGAAGTTATATACAGGAGGAGTTCTGGGGTGGGTGCCCTGCAACTCCGCACTTCTTTTCCTTTCCCCCATTATCCCCCGCCCCCTGGCCTAAGTTCTCCCACTTGCAAATAAAATGTTATTATGCTCTGGAACAATAAGCCAACAGTGAAACATCGTCCTCATTTCCCTATAAATAATTTTATCCTTTATTGTTTGGGGATCTGAGAGAACCATTTAATCTGCGCTGGCGAAAAGAGAGAGAGAGAGATGGGGAGGGGGGAATTAATTTCAGAAACGAGAATATTACTTACTTCGATGATACTCTTTTAGATTTGATAGCCGGGAGCAAAATTAGAGGCGAACAGCGGCCTCTCCGACTCTACACCTGGCGGGCCTGGAGATTTATAGGATCTTTAGCGAAGGGGCAATTTAATTTTGTAGGATTTGCTTAAATTCACTGCTATTTTGGGGGGCCGAGGAGAAGGGAGGGTGCGGGGGGGGGGAGGAACGACATGCTTTATCTAGTTTTATGAATCTGCCACCATTACCCTGATTTAAAACCCAACAACCTGTGTCTCAGAGAAAACTCCTGCAGAAAGGCTGGAGGAGTTGGGGCGAGGGGGCCTCGGCTTCGACTGTGGCCCCCTCGGCCAGGCAGTTGCCAGGGGGAAGGAAGAAAAGCCCGGGGCGAGGGGAAGGCGGCTCAGAGTCTCTCCAGCACCAGGACACCCGGAGGTTTATGGTGTCCCCATAATTCCCCACCCCTATAAACAGCTGCCCTGTTTCAGGACGCTGGCGCTTCCTCCCCCGGGGAAGGGAGAGCGAGGGCGGAGGCGGCGGAGCAGGGTGCCGGGAAGGGGAGGGAGCTCGGGCAGCGCCGCACTTTGTTCTCCTGGGTGAGTTTGCTGGTTTGGCGGGTTTCCGACGCAGGGTGGCAGCAGACAAAACAAGTAAACAACCCACAGACACAATAAACAGGGGGCGGCCGCCACCGAGCCGGAGGCCGCGGGCCGCCGAGGGGCACCGCCCGGGGCGAGCTCACCCCAGCACCCCGCCAGGCCGCCCCCAGGCCCGGCGGGCCGAGGTGGAAGGGGCCTGGAGCGACCTGGCGGCCCAGGCAGTGCTGCAGCCGCACCGGCCGGCCCGGCCCGCGTCCCCTCACCGCTCTGCTCCGACGGTACCGGGCCCTGCGCCCCACCGGCGGCGGGAGAGGCCCCGGGGGAGGCTGGAGCCCGGCCGCCCCGCCAACCACCCGGCCGCAGCCTCCTCCCCAGCCGCTTGCGACATGGGACAACTGAAACAGGCGCCACCAGTCCCCAGATCCCGGGGCTCTGGGGGCGCCTAGAGGGCCCCTCAGCGGCCCCCACAGCCACACAGGCGAACCTGGGGTGCGGAGCGGGAGCCAGACCTTCTCCGCACCCCTGCCCCTTCTGTCTGGCCTTCTGCACCAGCCTCTCCAAGCGGCTGCCTCGGCCTCGGCGCAGAGGCCACCTTCCTGACCACTCAGATCCCCTTCACTGTCCCAGCCACGTTCGAGCGCCAGGGCCTAGCCAGCCGCGCAGAACGGCGCAGAGACCCACCTCACCCACAGAGTTCCCCACAAAACTCACTGGCAACACCACAGGGCTCCCCTGGTAAACAGCCTCTGAGCTGGGGAAGTTTGGGATTTGGGTTGGGGGGTGGGTGGAGAGAAAGCAGAAGGGATTCACTATTGCCCCAGCCCAGATGCTTGGACAGTGAAGGCAAGAATGTCCGAGAAAGCCTTCGTGGCATCCGTTGGTGCCTGCAACCCGCATACTCCGATTCCGGCACACATGCGCGCGCGCGCGCACACACACACACACAGGTTTCCAGGAGAGCGTGCCCAGAGAGGGTCTGCTGGGTGCACCCAGTGCCTCCCTGAGCCCAATCCCAACTAACAAAATTTTGCATGCACATAAAACGGTGTTTGAGCGAGGACAAGCATGGTGCTGTACAATTAACCACCGAGGAAATATGAGTCTGTATATATTCACGCATAAGTCGGAGTCTGTACATTTGAGCCCGGACATAATAAGTGTATAAAGCTACGAAGCCTGGTTTTGGAACACAACAGCCAACCCAACCAGGCCGCCTTCTCCAAACAAGGGTGCATTCTTTGTAGGGATCACAACTGTCAGACCAGGGAGAGAAAGGGTCTGCTCTGCCCGTTTTCCCTTCGCTTAGGAACTGGCGCGTGGACTGCAGCCCGTGGCAGGGCTGACAAAGCCTTCAAGGGGCAGGCCTGAGGTGCCCAAAGGGTGGACTCCGAGGGGGAACGCCGGGGGCCCTGGGCTCCAGGGAGCGTCGCCAGAACGTGACCCACAGATTCAGTGCTTCTGGCCAGCTTTAGTCCTGGGCGTGCAGAGTCCTCCGGCCAGATTCTATTCTCAGCGGCCCTGGCTATTATTAGATACTCAGACCAGGGCTTTCCTGCACTAAGGACCACGTTTACAGGGAATCTGGCCTACGAGGAGGCTGGCCGGTGCCACTGGTGGCCTCTCTTGTGCTCCCGTGTGAGCACCAGAGTGGGGGAGAAGGAAGGAAAAGAAAATCGAAAGTAAGGAGGGAAGGAAGGGGGTGGCGTTCGGGGCTGGATTTATCCCCTGGCCGGACTAGAAAACTGCTGCCAGGCTTTCTCCGCGTCCCTCTGCCTCGCGAGGAGGATCTCGGGGGGGTGAAGGACATGGGGGACCGCAGGACCCTAGCCAGGAAGGGACAGAAAATCAATTGAGAAAAATATTATGCAAGGACACCTCAGGATGATGCCGTTAACCCGTCACCCATGAACCCTAGCACCCTGAAATCTGGCCGGCAGCGCTCACTTTAGCTGCCTGTGGGCCCAGATCAATACCCCAGCCTTAGCCAGGCCCACCCCTCCAAAGGGAGGGGGCCCCTCTCCTATCCCAGGTGAAATCCAACTGTCCTGAGTGGCCTTCCGAACTGTTTTCCCGAGAGAGGGGGGGTGTGAACAAAAGGAGGCTCGTGGCCCCCCCACCCAGTCGGGCAGGCCATCTGCAGGGGTGGGGGGCGGGGGGCAGACAAAATACAGGCGAAAGAGAGAAATAGAGGCCTCACCGGTCGGCGGTTCCCACACTACGCCAGGAGAGAGGCTCCCACGTCCAGGCCTCCGCGTGGGGTGGGGGCCTCCTCGGGCCCCCGCCCGCCCCCTGCCCTGCGCGGGGCCCCGGGGCCGCGTGGCTGCCGGCCTGGGCGCGGAGCGGCGGAGCGCGCGGCAGCCGAGCAGGCGGCTGGGCCCATTTGGGGAAAGCCAAGCGCTTTTCTCGATCGTAAACAAGGAACGAAATTAGCCCCTCGGCAGACGCCTCTGCCGACACACAAGTCCTCGTGGGGGGGGAGTGGAAGGGGGAGAGAAAATGCCATTTCTTCCC